AGCAACAATGTTGAAAATCACTGTGGATCACTGTGCCTCAGGTGATAAAAGAGAAATTCTGTTCTCTTCCCTGCTATTTCAAAGCTTCATTTAAAGGAAATCAAGAAATGAAAAAATTAATACTTCAGTCTTTAATTCCTTAGTTTTAAACTTCTTTATCTCATCAGTTTCTAGGACAGCAATAATATTATAACTTTGTAATTTGAAGACCATTATCTTTTAAATGGATTGATATGCTAATGTATCTCTATTAACTTGTCTGTGAGTGAAAAGGACAGATGCTCCATTAGGATGGGCATCTTAAATATTAGCAAGAACTGTTTTCTAGACAGTCTCTTTGCTATTTGAAATTAAAGGTATGAATAAGTCTATTAGAACCATTTTAATAAAATATCATTTTTTCCAGCTATATTGAGATATAATTGATATAGAACATTGTGTAAGTTGAAGGTGTGCAACTTAATGACTTACTATACATATTTTGTGAAATGGTTACCATAATAAAGTTAATTAACAATTCATCACCGCATACAGTTACAATTTTTTATGGTGAAAAGAAGATCCAATTTTTATATTTTTCCTTCAAAATGCATAGGTGAAATATATGGAAAGGGATATGAGATCATGGTCAACAAAGACTATGACATTGTGATAAACTAATTCTAAACCCTATAAAGTACAGAGCATCTGGGATATCAAGTTTTAACATTGGCAAAATGCTAATCCTTTTTCCAAAAAGCACATTTCTTTTTTCTTGCCTTCTTTTTTTTCTTTTTTCTTTTCTTTTAATTTTTTTATTGTTCAAACACATTTGTCTCCACCTTTCTGCCACCACTTTCCCCTGCCCCGCCCCGGCCCCCACCTCCCTCCCTCAGTTCTTTCCTACTTTAGCTTTGTCTTGCCTTCTTTTCATATTCTAACACCACAGGGTAAGGCCCAAGAGGAGGAAATCCATTCTGACCTTTCCTAACAATAAATACACATCAAAGAAGGTAGGAGTGAGAGAATAACAGGTGAGTGGTATTTTGGGGCATTATAATTTTACATTCATCAAGGCAGCTCCCTCCTTGACACCAGCATGTGCCCCACCCACCCTTTTTTTAAAAATCAATAGTTCTCCTGCTTCCCACAATTATTCATATAGTCCTGCTGATTAATCTTCTTTTCCTTGCCTGGCATAACAACAGAACTCAGAAAGAGAAGCAATGCCACTCAGAGGCAGGTCAGACAATGATGTAATTAATAAATCAAGGAGATGTGTTATTTCAGAAGAGCCCATAGGAAGAGAAGGGAAGGGCTGATTTCTTGGGTCATGACTTACCAGCAAACTGCAGTCACTAAAGTACAAGTAACTAAATCAATCTTTTTCTCCAAATGAATAAAAACACATGTAAATATTATCCTCTCCTATGAAAAGTTAAAAGTTGCATATAGGAATTTTAATTAGAAACAAATTTAAAACCAGTTTGGGAGAGGAAATCTCCTCCATCCCACACTAAGCAAAGTGCAGGGTGTTCATTTCTGTATGTTTTTGCCAAATCAGTTTCTTAAGGAACCAATAATGCAGGAAACAAAGTTAACACACAAAGAACTGAATTCCATAGATGTTAGGTGCTAGGGATGAAGAGGTGACTAAACCCAGTCCTTGCTTATAAAGAGTAAGCTAGTTGAGGAGATTGTCAACAAGTACTTTCATGTAATCATACACAGGGCAATATGTGGGTTTATAGCTTCAGCGACAAGCCCAGCAAAGAGAGAAATGAGATGTCCTATTCTACCCTGCCAAGAAAGACAAAGAAGCAGTTGACTAAAGGTCTGGGACTCAAATTTATGACTGCAGAGGAATTAGAAACCATAGAGACATGGCTTTCCAAGTGTATTCTTTCATAGATCAACCAGCCATATGACCAGAAGTATCTTGAGCTGTGAATATAAGACATGCATTTCACCTCGGTTGCTGTATTTTCAATTCAAGGAAGGGATCTGATCATAAATGAGAATTTTCTCATTCCATGTTGCAAAAGCATCGGTCACTTTTATTCTCTTCAATGTATTGTTTTCTATTTTTAGATAACTACTACAGTATGATGCATTGGGTTTACAAGTACTCACTGAGCAAGTAAATAACAAATGTCTAAAAATAAAATATTAGTACCAGACCCTCCACATATGCCTAAAGTGAAAAAAATTTAAATTAAAATAATTAAATAAATGGACTTAGATGTTACGACTCTTCTCAGGTGACATCTGAGAAGCCATGGTTGAGATGACAAACATCAAAGTATTTTTCATGCTCAGGTAAAACAACATGAATTAAGAACTACCACTCTAGTTCAAAGTCACTTCCAAGCTTATGTGAATTCCATGAGGACAGAAGCCACATCTTATATAACTTCATATCCTCAGCACCTGCTATACATATACCTGGCAAACAGCAGGTGCTCAATATTACAGTGGATAAGTTTTCTGAATATACATGGGAGAGAGAAAATATTAAAGGCCTGGTTCTCATCTGTATATACTTCCAGCAATCCAAACACTGATCATTTACTGTAGCTAAGGAACTTCTATAAACTAAGGCAGGCATCCCTGAAAAAAAGTCAGGGCAGTCAGGTGCAGCGGCTGCAAATCCTACTCCGCAGAGCCCAAAGTGGAAGGCGTCACGTGTGGGGCAGCTTGGCCCCTTTCCCATATCCAAAATAATTAGTTGCACAAAGTAAATTTAGTCCCAAAACTGTTTGGACTTTGTTCCTCTATCAACATCTGGGTTCAGCATGATTCCTGACCTCTACCTCAAACTGGCAATTTCAAACACTACAAACCTCGCTTAACAAGAAAGTCATGTCATTAGTCAAGGCCAGGGGAAACACACAGACCAGAACTAGTCAAAAAAAACAAAAAAAAAACAAACAAAAAAAACCAACAGAGAAATGATTCTGATGCCCTTATAAACGTTTCTAAACATCTACAATATTGAAAGTACTTTTCAAAAAGAAAATTTAAATATACATTCTCAGATAAAATATATTCATATTATTGAAGAGATAGTTTCTAGGAAGCTAAATAAATAAATAAGCTCTATTTTCTTTTTACACAGACGATAACTTCTCTCTCTGCTGTATAGTTTGGCTGAGAAAACTTGTTTCATAATCTGGGAGACCCAAAAACTAATTATTATTTATTTAAAAAAAAAAAAAGACACGTCTTAAACTGACCTAGTTTGGAAGCTTGAATGCCTTTAAATTTCCAATGAACTGAAACCATTCATGAGAATGGGGCTTTTGAATGCTGAGAATGTTCTCAGGGCTCAGCAGAAAGATATTTGGCATTGATGACTGTAAATATTTGGAAAATTCTGGGTTTAGACAGTGTTTGATCACATTCAAACCTCACTTCCAGCACAGTAGTGTAGGAGCAAGTTATCTAGGGTTATTGGCTGGGGCCGGAGGGGGGGGGGTTGCGGCGCAGGTTGGTTGAGTTTTTTGTTTGTTTGTTTGAAATAAAAAGCCAAGCAACCCAGTTCTGCAACTCAACATCTTCTTAACATTCTCTACACATGTTTAATTTCAATTCATCAGAGGCTACTTTTGAAGCAGTTTTTTCCCCCACTTTCCTATTTTTCCCAGTTTATGCCCACTACAAAGGACAAAAATACCAGTCACAGGTATGCAAGAGTGAGGCAGGAGTTGGGAGAAAATGAGGCCTTGGATTTCCTAATACAATTCTCTCCAAGTGGCTGTGTGGATTTGCTATAGCTATTGTTTTATTTCTCCCCGCCTCTTCTCAAATAGTTCCAGAAGTACTTAAAGGGCTGCTACCCATGAAAATGACTAGGGATTGGGAAGGGAGGACAGAGCCTAAAAAAAAAAAAAAAAAAAAAGGAGGAACCAGCATAGGAATCAGATGAAAAGAACCAGGACTGGAGAAGCTCATCTCAGTGAAAGCTGCAGCAGACTGATACTTTAATTAGCCGACAACCCAGTGAAGACTAGCTGGGTTCCTTCTGCCTCTTCTTTTACCCACACCCTAAAAACTGAGTCATCTTAAAGTTCATTTTTTGCTTCTGCTTAGACACCCCAATCTGCTGCTTCAGAAATGTTAGATACATTTTTTTTTTTTAATTTATACCTGGCTATGTTCAAATAAACATCCAGGAATCCCAAGGTATTCAACAGACAAATATGAATAGTCCTATTAGGAGCCCCAGCTAATGTTTTGATACGATATGTATGTGGCAGAAAGAAGTAAGAACATGAGAAGACAATAGTGGAAGCATGAAGACCGAGAACATTTTCCCAGAAAGGGGAATTTATTTCTGAGAAATCTGAATGTGAGAAGTATATGCATGGGGAGTAGACTTACAGCAGAATCACTGAAACTAACAAGAGAATCGAAAGGTACCCTGGAAAGGATAAGCTAGAATACCTTTTCTCTGCTAAAATAGCAGGAATTCGTTTCATTTTACCTTAAATTTGATTAGAGCAGTATAAGATCATAGTTTCACTTTGTTTTATCAGCAATTACCTGATAAAATAATCAGCATAACATATGGCCAAGATCTCATGGATAATATAACATGTTATTCATATCTGTGTGTGTCAACATTCTGCTGTGCATATCCAAGTAACAGTAGGTAAACATCTGAGGTTATACCAACTTTTGGTTTCCCCTTAAGACACTGGAAGGTTTGATCTAACCTTGAATTTTCCAAACATTCTGCAGAGGCTGTTTTAGTAGAAATTAAACTAGTTTCTTTTACCTTTATGAAGACATCTATTTTTAAAAGTTAACAGGTGTTCAGGCATTCGGAATGATTTCAATTCTCTATGGTTGAAGCATTAGACACAACATAAAGCTAAAAACCATGGTATCATAGTTTCCTGTCCGTTTTTCTTTTCTTAGTCCAAAACCATTCCCGTCTTGCAATGCCTGCAGCTTTTATGTATTTTTTTAACTTTATTTTTATTGCCTGCAGCTTTTTAAAAGCTTGCTAAACCTACCTGACTGGGAGCTACGTTCCTCCGGCCGCTGGGCTTCTCAGCAGCCTCCGGTTCGCACACCGGGGAGGAGGAGCTGTTTCATTCTCTCCCTCGTCCTCCGTGCTCTGCAGCTGACAGCTTTCCACTTTGCAGGGCCGTAACAGGACTCGGGCTCCCAGAGCTATTGGCCCGGAGGAGAAGGATCTATAACCAACCACCTCCTGCCTCGAGGAGCTGCCGCGGTGCACGGGAACCTTGCAGAGCTTGGGGCACAGCTCGCCAGCAGCAGCACCCGCAGCCGCGCGTTTATTTATACAGGAAGCTCGAGCACGGCACTTCCTACTTCCCATGTGAGTCGCACTTCAGCCGCAGGTGATGGTCTTTTAACTCTGTCCGAACCGGCCGCCCGAGCTCCAGGGCAATCCAGGCTTCCTGCGCTGGCTCCACTTGGCAGGACCTATCGCTCTAGTCCTTTTGGGACAGCTGCCGCAGAATCCAGGGCAGAGTGTCTAGCGGCAGCCCCTGGTGTCCTTCATCCTGCCCAGGCAGGGGCACGCCGCCTCTTGGCTTTCGGAGCTTGCTGCTTCTCCGCGCTGTGTCCTCCCAGGGTACCTTTGTCTCCCTCCTTCCCAGCTCTTAAAAAAAAATTTTTTTTCGACTTCTAACAACACATACCTGCCTTCCCACCTTGCCAGAAAACTGTTTTTATAAATACATTCCATGCACATCTCGTCAAAACACCTTGTACCCAGTTATTAGAATATTATTGACTATATTCCCTGTGCTGTGCTTTTTCATCCCCATGACTATTCTGTAACCAGTTTGTACTTAATCCCTTTTAACCCATCTCCCCAAACCCCCTCCCGTCTGGCAGCTGTGGAAATGTTCTCTGTATCTATAGATTCAGTTGTTAATAGATATGTATTTATTGCCATTTATCATTCTTTTCATTTCTCCTCCTTCTTCAAGAAGAACCTTTGACATTTCATATAATACTGGTTTGGTGGTGATAAACTATGTATGGTATCCGATGGGTATGAGATTTATCAACATAATGACTTAGTAAGTTATATAATGTATAATCACTGAGGTGCATGCCTGAAACTACTGTAATATTGTATGTCAACTGTAATTGAAAAATAAAAAATGATTTAAATTTTTTTAAAGGAACCTTGTACCTAATTTGTCCTTTTGTGTCTAATGATAAAATGAAAACTCAGGTAAATGAAATAAAGACCATCCTAGTGTACCTCATAAAAGGCACACCTTTATCAAACAATGATTTTTGCTTTAAATGCTTTAATGTCAATGAATTATACAGGGAACACTTAGTAAACTAACAGGTTGTACTCTCAGTTTAAAAAAAAAATGTAACAAAATAATCCAGAAACTGTGGGGGACTATGATGTGCCTTCTTTTCTCCAAAACCTTAGAAAATTTGTGTAATGTTTAAAAAGAATATATAGCTACCTGCTCCCCCAGATGTCAAAAATCGCAGTCCTGAATCTGTCGCAATTTAGAAATGTCTTCGCTCTGATACAAGAAACTTTCTTTGCTCACTCTGCAACCTTACTCTACTTTTGCAACTGCACACAGGAATGTGCTTCCTAGAAGGAAGGGACTAGCAAACACTTTGTGAAAGGGATCTGAGCTTGCCAGTGAAGGAACAGCACACAGCAAAGTGCTCCTCAGCTCTCTCCAAATTGAAGAAAACCTTCAGGTCAAAGCCAGGTGCTGAAGAACATAGTGCATCTATGTGTGTGGTAGGAGGACAGGCAGGAGAACCAGTCCAGTAGTGGGGCAGGAAGGAAAAGTAAGTGGACAAGGGAAGTAGGACACTAAGAGAATTCACAGTGGGGACACAAAGTAATAGAATAAGAGGATATCTGAGTTTGAAAAGTTCTCCTAGCTAGTTTAATCTAAACACTTAATTTTTAAAATGAGGAAACTGACGTCCAGGGAGATTTGAGTGTCTGGCTTCAATCAGATAGGGAGCAGAGCTGGAATCAGACCTAAATCTGTCTTAGATGCAAAAGGTGCATATTAATGAAAACCACCCCATGGATGTCTAACTTCAAATTCAGCAGTAGCTTAGGTTCTAAGATAATCAATGTCAAGGTATTTTCTTGGTGTAGTGACCATCGTTGATGGATAGGAATCAAGAAAGATACATAAAGCATCATCTAAGAGGTGAATTTATTCATTAAAATTGATGCAAAAAGTTTGACATCTTAAACCAAAGTTTCACGGAGTCCACTTTTTAAATAACCATGCAATTGAGCAATAATCTCTTATCCATGGGATAACTGAAAATGCTGCTACCACTATGAATGAAAACATAGGTTAAGCAATTATCAGGCTGCCAGCTGCTGTAACTGGCAGGGGGAAGGAGATACATTGTATAATTCAAAAATATCAGCATTATTTTCGGCCACGCAAGTTTATAAAAATTGCATTCAAATTTTAGTTGAACTAAATAAACATGTAGAACATTTGAGGATTATGTGAACAGTTCTTTCCGATCTGACTAATGAGCCCACTGTATGCATTCATTCATTACCTCAGGCATTTATTGATCTCCTCCCAGAAAAGCGCTGGATGCTTGGAAGACAAAGATAAGCTGGCTGTGGTCCCTGTCCTGAGAGCTCTCAGTCCAGGGAAGGAGTCAGACAAGCAAACCAATTATCAGGGTATTACGATGAGTGGTATGATAGACTTACACAGGACGTGCCATGGGAGTACAGAGAAAAATAATTTAATTTAAGGAAAAGCGTTGATAAAAAGAATCAAGGAAGGCATCCCTGGAAAAGTGACTTAAAGCTGAGTCCTCAAGTAGCCAATTGGGGAAGATGAAAAGAGGCAAACCAGTCAGAAGCAGCAGCCGATTTAAAGGCCTAAAGATGTGAGACTTTAGGTGATACTTTTTATAATTCAGACACAGTGGATGCATTCAGAATAAAAGAAGGAGAGCCTGAACTAACAGTACTGACAACTGACATGAAAAATGGAGAGAGATTTCAGAAACAGAATCAATAAGACCTGAAAGATCTGATTGAATGTGGGGGATAAGGGAGAGAGGAAAGCCCAAGCTGTTGGTGCCGCTAACTGAGATTGGGAACAAAGGAGGAGCAGCTGAAAGGAAAATGGTGCTGAATCCATTTTAATTCTGCATAATCTCAGGTGCCCCTGGGACAAACTGGAAGACTTGTCCAGTGGACCGGCAGCAGAGAGAGAACTGGGGTAGAGAGTCTTTGGGGAATTACCATCATTTAGGTTGTGGTCATGGATGAGATGGCTAAGAGCTGAAATCATCCACAACAGCTTGTATGCTGTTGAGAGAATGAGACACTTTCAACCCATACAAACTCTATCACCCATTCATTATGACTTAAGGTCAAACAAGTTTTTAACATACCCAAAACCCAGTCTTCTCTTCTATAAAATAGGCATGATGATATTCGTCTCATAGGCTGTTGTGAGGTTAAATGAGATGACACTATCTAATCTATGGGGTGGTGTAATGAATGCCACCTTCTGGAGCTGTGCAGCACACAACCTGTTCAGCGGCACAATAGGAGGAACTCAGTCAATGCTCTTCATTTAAGAAGGAAAGGAAGGGAGAAGTGCAAAGAAAGGGATCATGAAAGAGAACCAAAGGAACACCAGGATTTAAAGGGCAAATTAAGGAGAAGCCCTCAAATAAGTTTAGGAAGGAACTGCTTCTTTTAGACTGGAAAAATGAATGTAAAATTTGGTATTTCACACTGAGAAGTAGAATCCAGCCACGATAACCTACAACAGTGTTTTTTATCTTCCTAAGTAATAATACACATAATATTACAAATTGTACACCAAAGATTAGTCATGTTGACCTTCATCATAATGAAGAATTACTTCCTAATCAGAATTACAGACCTTTCTAAAGAGAAAGCAAACAATATCTTGACATGAAATGGTAAGTAGTCCAAGTTGTATTAATTTGTAAGGTACCTAAAGTTATATCTAAAAATAAATGAATGAATACAGAGCATACTTAATGTTTTCCCTGCATATGAAGCAAAACTATATAGAAATATATTTACTAGATTGCTAGATATTTATGTGTAAGACACTTATATAGTAATATATGTCATAGTATATAATTGATAGTATTGATAGATAATAGATACTGTAAAATGCACTATAGTCCTACATAAGAGAATCAACAAGTGGAATTTCTTTGGAAAAATATTCTTTTTAATATAAAGAACATTCAAGATTCATTTTTGTGCTGCTGAAATTAACCTTTTAATCTACCTTAATATGTAAGTTATGTAACTTAGATGTGACATCTTAGTTATAATCTATGTTAAAACATAAATTTTTTTAATGATTTGTTCAGTTTCAAGAAATCAGATGACAGAACACAAGTATTGGGAAACCAGCTTCTGCAATAGGTGAAATTCTTTCTCCACAGGAAAAAATTTAAGGCAAAGGTCATGGTGTTCTGCCACTGACTATGTGGTGACTTCTCATTTCCAAACAGCTACAATTTCATTTGCATTTTTCTGTTGCATCTGATGGTGCTCAATGTATACATTCAAGTCAACCTTTATCAAGTATATTGAGTATAGAACTAAGAGTGAGACAGTACCAAATGAGACTAAGAACACTACAAATTAATGTGATATAAACTATGCCCGAGATGCACTCCGGTAGGAATGGAAGTCAAACGACACAGAAAGTCAAAATTTGACTCAGAAGTGATCATCCAGTTACCTCAGACTTGATAACAAGAGTTTTCAAAAATGCTGGGGACATGTCACTTGGTTCTATATCATACATTCAAAAGGATCTCAACATTTCACAGAGCAAGTCAAAACCAGCTGGGCCCTAACAAGAAAAACCTGACCAGGATATAGTCACAGGCTACATAAGACTTTTCAGTCAACAATGGAGCACATATGTGATAGTGCTGTCATACATTATAATGGAGATGAACTGAAAGCAATAAATGAACAAACAAGACAAAAAAGAAACAGACACAGACAACAGCATGGTGGTTACCAAGGGAAAGGGGGTTGGGGGAGGTAGTAAAGGGTAAACGGGGTCAAATATATGGTGACACAAGGGAGGACTGGCTTTGGGTGGTAAAGACACAATGCAATATACAGATGATGTATTATAGAATTGTAGACTTGAAACATATACAATTTTATTAACCAATGTCACCCCAACAGATTAAATTTAAAAAAAAAAACACATCTATGAAAAGGTACATTAGGAAAAACTGAAATGCATGTAATACTTATGTTAAATGACCTTTATTTTAACTGGTGACAAATAAGTATAAAGGAAAATTAAAATCATCAATAAACTCTACAGTATATGTTCTTTAAAAAATATACTGGAACTGAAAAATTCCTATTGCCTTATAACATCATAGCCGTTATAACATCACAGCACAACAGTTCTCACATGTTTGTGGTGATGCCAGTATAAACAAACCTACCGTGCTGCCAGTTGTATAAAAGTATAGTACATACAATTACGTATAGTCCATACTTCTTGATAATGATAATAAATGACTACGTTACTGGTTTATGTATTTATTATACTACACTTATTAAAAAAAAGTTTGTTGCAAAACTATGCCATGTTATGCTGGCAGCAGCCGCATACATCTTGTGTTTGCCCTGTCTCTTGATTGCAACAATTTCTCTTGTATTTGATTTAATGCCACACTGTTTTTTACAGTAACATGCTATACAGGTTTGTAGCCTAAAACAACAGATGTGTAGTAGTCCATACCATCTAGGTTTAAGTGCATTCTATGATGTTGGCACAACGGCAAAGTCACCTAAAGAGACATTTCTCAGAATGGATGCCACCGTTAACAGGCACATGAGTGTAATCCCAAACCACCACTGCTCTTACGCCACATAAGAACCCACCATGACCCAAGATGGAGAACTGAATGAGAGCAAGATTTGAAAGCATTCCATTGTTCAAGACTCTTAACGTCCTATATGTAACACCACGAGCAACCTGGGGTTACAAGCCCAATAAGAATGTAATTCAGCACTCTTGTTCATCACCTAACTCTAGAAAAAAATTACTGCATTAAGCCCTGATTTAAGATTTTCCACTAGAAAGTCAGATGAAATAGTCTAGAGAATCCTAATGTTTGTAAATTGTGCATCAATCCTTCTACTAATATCTACCTTACCATCTCTTCCAAGTTCCTGTATATCAGACAATCAGTGAGACGAAAAAATCTCCAATGTTCCCATAAATTGTCATCCCAGACAAGGGGTTCCCAACCCCCC